CTCCGAAGATAAGCTTTGGAACATTAAACCCTTCAATGGAGAGTGGCATTCCTGACAGTAATAGACTTAGCAAATGCAGGCCAATTTTGGATCAGTTGGCGAGGCCCCTTGTGAGAACAGCTTTTGGGAAAAAAAAAACTTTTAAACAAATTTGATATGATATTGAATTTAATAATGTCTTCCATCGCTTTAAATTTACTTTACCACTGATGATACATTTTTAAAAACTTAGTACTAACGGGTGGAACCCTTGTGGAGCGTGAATGGGTCAAATCGGTCAAATCGGCCTAAGGTCAGCCCTGATCCCTGGTCATAAACGTAATGCCTAAACGAGCACCAAACACACATACCTCACTCTTGCATACCTTCTGCCAGGATAAACTCGACCAGAGTTTATACCCTTGAAGTGTCAACTGATAATGGGACAAAATCTTGTGGAGAATAGCAACTTCCATTCTTTGAGATAATATTTGTTTTACTTGAACACTTAAGAGATATTGCTGGAGTCTTTGAGTGAATATGATATATATATATATATATATATATATATATATATATATATATATATATATATATATATATATATATATATATATATATATATATATATATATATATATATATATATGAAATGCTGTTAATCTGTTTATAACGTATTTTGCATTCTGTAACTTTTATCTTTTGACATTTAGATTTTAAGTAAAGTAATATCTTTATTTTCTAGCACCATTCATTTAGGGAAATTGGAAGCTTATATTCCTGAATTATTTGAACTTTTCCATGCATATATATATATATATATATATATATATATATATATATATATATATATATATATATATATATATATATAGACATATGCATATACATACCAGAAGTCTGAAATCAGCAGCTAGTTCATAGGTTTAATTTACATGGACTGGAGATAGAATGTCGAACAATGTCAAGACTTACTTGAGGTAGCTGTTTCCCTTCACTTTTAGAAAATACGAAACACTTCAATCTTTGTCACCAAAAGATTCCGTACAACGCTTAGATACCACACGTGATTATTGTCCTTCACGAAACTCCTAATGGTCATCATTTAATAGCGGTCATCTTATCATATCCACCATTTTAATTTTATAATTTCCACTTGCCATATGGTATACAGACGATATGACTTTGTAACTGTCACCTGCATTTAATGCCTTTTGTTTCCTAAGCAAAACATTAATTTCTGCCTCAATTAAGCGGTCCCAGAAGCGTGTCTACAATGACCAAGAAGTACTTGACAACTTTCAACTTTCTTCATGAAGAAGGCCAGTTTTAGCTTTTCCCCTTTTCCCATGGTTTTAACATCTCTCTCTCTCTCTCTCTCTCTCTCTCTCTCTCTCTCTCTCTCTCTCTCTCTCTCTCTCTCTCTCTCTCTCTCTCTCTCTCTCTCTCTCTCTCTCTCTCTCTCTCTCTCTCTCTCTGTATGTATGTATGTATGTATGTATGTATGTATGTATGTATGTATGTATGTATGTATGTATGTATGTATGTATGTATGTATGTATGTATGTATGTATGTATGTATGTATGTATGTATGTATGTATGTACACACACACACACACACACACATATATATATATATATATATATATATATATATATATATATATATATATATATATATATATATATATATATATATATATATATATATATATATATGAGAGAGAGAGAGAAAACGATACGCACACAACACAGATACGAACACACATGAATAAAATATGATTAGTCTTGACATGTATACTAAACAATTATTATATGAACCTTTAGCGGTTTGATTTGTATTTCACGATATATGTATATATATATATATATATATATATATATATATATATATATATATATATATATATATATATATATATATATTAATGCATAAAGTACTTACATAATATTTTAAATAAATCCATTTTATGCAATTGTGGTCTCCCTGAAATCCATGCAAAACCTGTCCAAATCACACAGTACGGATCCTCCCAGTATTTCTTATCAGCTTTTACAATGTACACCAAGAAAGTCATGACTTTCAATCACTCACTATCTCTCTTGTACCTAAGCTATTTCTGTATTCCAAAATGAGGTAGCATTAGTAATTCAGTAGGAGAAATTATTTGATGACAAAGAGGTCGTTGGTAATGCAAAATTGCGAGCAATACACACACACACACACACTATCACACTATATATATATATATATATATATATATATATATATATATATATATATATATATATATATATATATATATATATATATATATATATATATAAAGTTGTTTAATACGTTCTCTAATGCAGCTTTTTCACTATTAGAACGCGTACATTCAATTTCCTTTAGCTAAGACTAGTTGAATACATCATTAGGTAAATCTCTATTGTATAAGTTTTTTTTATTCTGACTGTTGTAAAAGTGGTTGAAATTTCGCTTGTCCAAAAAGAAAGAAAAAAAAACCTCTTTAAGAGCCTATCATCAATAAAACGTATTACTAATAAAAGTATAAGTTGCAACGTGCTCTAAACCTACGATACCTAGCTATCATTTCGAGAAAAATGAGATTTCTAGAGCATGAAAGTAATGTATTTTTTTTGCAATTAGTACGGCTAGTGATACATGGCGTCATGTTTCCATATATTGTGTTTTCTTAAGGAAGGGATCAGGGAGAATACGTGTCATCACGTGATGGCTATACTTAGGATCCTTCTCTTGTTATGGCGCATGACACGTGCTTTGCTCTGGTCACGACAATGTAGATGCCATGGATTACGTGTATTCTGATAGTAACAGCCTCACCTGAGCTGCCTAACATTAAAATGTAAATTAATTGCACCAGGATGATATCGTTTGTGAAACTGATGATCGCGAGTACTAAGCAACTGAGTCATTGGGGGAAAAAAATTTCACGTGCAAGTGATTTTCACGATTCACTGGGATGTACTTGTATTTTAATAATAACATCAAATGAAAAGGTTATTACAGGTTTGTCATTTTTTACTCATGATAACGTCTATTTATACAAATGTATGCTGTTCTAAAATTGAAAAAAAATTACGCACGAGTTCTGACAGTAATTACAAATTCGTTTATTACATTCATGTCAAATATATTCAAAATTAAAACGATGAGTTTGGTATAACGTTAAAATATAATGCATTGATTGATGTAGTTGATAATAGGTTACCCATCAAATCCACGGACAAGGCACCCCTGTACAAAACGCACAGCCTTTGATACTTACAACAATTTTTGTTTACCTTAAATCATTTGCCAGTGAAAAATAAAACAGCAATACTAATAGTAACAACAAGTTATTTCTTAGTATACATGAAGCTCTTTGCCAACAGAACACTTGGATTAAATGGTAATTTTCAGACTGGTATAGATACAAATATCAGTTACTCATTCATAAAAGTAAGTCACATTTACCTAATTCTTAGATGGTTCAATTACTTACCTTTTACTGCATCAACATACCAGCTTTAAGGAGTGTAAGGCAATAGGATCAATGATAAAGAGAGTGAAATGAACATACAGAAGTCGCCCTAACTAGAAACTAGAATATATTGACCCAATTATCATGTAGCTGAATTACCCCTTTTGAGATGCCATCTCATGCCAAGTTTCATGATAGTACATGCAGTACAGTCAAATATATTATGAGTAACAGACTGATCATGAATTTTGAAAAAAAACACAATTTAAAATTAAAAATTAGGTCAAAGTGACAGAGCTTTTGTATTTTTCAGTCATTTTGGTCAAAATTTATTCATGTACCAATTTTCCAGATTGTACGCTCAATCGGGTCCAATATAGTGGGGTCCGTAATGATCAAACTAACAAAGGAAATGACAGAACTCACTTGAGTGTGTAAATGAGGCCACACTAGTTCACATTTGGTATGATTAACTTACCGCTGTTTAGATATTTCAGCACGGTAATTTCCATGACTGAAGGTGTCACAGGTTACAAGATATTGAGAGTTTAACACATTAAATAAAAGATAATAATAAAACGGCAATTACAAAATCAGTTTAAACATGCAATGTATGTTATACTAATCTTTTTTTGCGTATTTCCTCTTTCCAGGATATAACCGCTCCTGTGGCCTAGTGGTTAGAGCGTCCTCCTCGGATGCGGGAGGTCGTGGTTTTGATTCTGGTCGAGTCCATACTAAAGACTTACAAAAAAAAGATCTGAAGTACTGAAGGCCAAAAGTAAGAACGAACGATAAAAACACAAAATAGGTTCGGTGAACTTCTGCTACGAGAAAAGTGATTGCTTCTTCCAGCAGACTCACCATATATTTTTTTTGTAAATGCTACAACATGTTTATATTTATCGACTTTCTTTATTAAATTAATAATGTCCTACACGATGAAACATAAAATAAATTGTAACTTGTTTGTTTCTTGTAATTCTATCATCTTGCTGTCATAAACTCGTTTTCAAATTAAATCAATATTTATATCGATGGACTAAAATGCGAAAGAATGAGTGGAAAGACAAACTTTATGTAAGTTTCAATAAAAATGAAATACTTGCTTCGAAATATTAACATTGCGATCAATTATCTGATTTCTGAGAAAAAGGTACTAATGTTCATATCTAATCTTTTCACAAAATATGAAGAGTTTTTGATCGGTCTCTGTAGGAGCTCATTGTTAGCTAACATGAAATGAACAATGTTTTGATAAAATTCATTTGGGCATACAATTTATCTTGGTTACTGCACTTTTGTAGTGTCGAAAGGATGAAAATTATAACTTTGTGTAAAATGTTGTAAGCTCGATGTCTGCAGTGCAGCAGTTTATAGTGATATCTAGCACTTGGGCATTATACCCCAGACATGTAGAATGACCTAGTCACATTATTCTGACACCAGGCTGAAAAGTCCTAACACTAAACTCTTAACGCTGAGTGCCAAGCGAGGAAGATGTTAGTTACCATTTTTATAAGCCTATGATATGACTCGGTCAGGTATAGAACCCACGAACTTCCACATTGGAGGCGGACGCTCTAACCACTAGGCCACCGAAGGTCAATCTCTCAATCTCTCAATCTGTCTGTCTGTCTGTCTGTCTGTCTGTCTGTCTCTCTCTCTCTCTCTCTCTCTCTCTCTCTCTCTCTCTCTCTCTCTCTCTCTCTCTCTCTCTCTCTCTCTCTCTCTCTCTCTCTCTCTCTCTCTCTCTCTCTCTCTCTCTCCGCTCTAACCACTAGGCCACCGAAGGTCCATCTCTCAATCTCTCAATCTGTCTCTTTCTTTCTATTTCTCTCTCTCTCTCTCTCTCTCTCTCTCTCTCTCTCTCTATATATATATATATATATATATATATATATATATATATATATATATATATAGAGAGAGAGAGAGAGAGAGAGAGAGAGAGAGAGAAAGAGAAAGACAGACAGACAGACAGAGGTAAAGTCTGAGAGAGGCTGAGACAGAGACAGATATGTCAGAAGATAATGTTGCGAGAGGAATGATTTTAGTCCTAGAATGTTTAAATCCTTGCCATACAAGTTCATTCAGCTTAAAAAATTTGCAGGCACTTTTGAAAATATTGTTCTTACATGATATTTTTCCCGCATTCATTCTTTTAAAATTCCATTTTCTTTAAGTTATGTGAAATGATGTTTGCACTGTCGAGATTTCAACCCAAGCTCTTCAATGTTGGTTTTGGCACTTATTCATACTTGCTGACGGATTAATTCTATAAAGATAGTTCGATGTCGGCGATGGAGCTGGCCGTTCTTACATCTTGATTTGATATGTGGGCAAAGATAAAAGGCACTAGAGGCTTCCAATTTTTGACTTTTCAGAATTACGTGGTAGATTTATTCTTTGAATTAACAAATCTTCACTTGACCCGAATGACTGGATATGGTTTGAAGTCATGAAATGTGAATTAACCTATAAATATTTGTACTTTAAGCAATCCTATTTTTATTTCTGGACGATCATGTTTTTCAACTACGCAGCAAAGAAAATATTCATACCTTAAGTAGTTCTTGATATCACCAGCGCAGTGTTTGGAAAATATAAATAAATAAATAAATAAATAAATAAATATATGTTAACGTTTCGTGAGACATTAATTGTTCAGATTAAACTTTGTATGGGCCTAAAGTTCAAAATTTAACCTGTAAGCTAATTCAGTTATTGACCTTTGATGAGTGAAAAATAGCTACATCGCAAAAAACAATGTAGTTAAGAGCATGAGCAAGCAGTATAGACCATGATTTGCAGCATATTTTTTATTCTACCATTTGGTCCAAAAATATTGCATATAACCAGATCTACAGACCTACTGTGCATCTGCAAATATAGGTTTCATTAATTTGGCGTTGGATACTTCTTACGAAATATATACGGTAAGATGTTCGTTGACACTGTTATTGGCCATTGAGTGCAAACTGATCTACAATTATCAGTAAGTCAGGTTTCAAAATTAACCTATTTAGAAGATACGCTGCTCTTGGTGTCGAACTAAAACTTACTCCCAATGTTGGATCTCCAATATATAACTACATAGACTTAGTGGCGTCATTAGACGGTTGCGGGGGTGCGGAGGGTGCGCATCGCACCGAATGACACCAGCTGAGAGGGTGACACCAAAATGACTGTCTATAAAATTTTAATTTTTGTGCAGGAGCGAGGTCAAGGGGGTGACACCAACCCTAGTGACGCCACTGCTACACTTTCTTCTCATTGAGTTTCAATAAATAACTTTATTCATTCTTTTCTCTGCTAAGGTATGCATTACACATTTGATTTGTCCACGAATCCATGTATGAGCCGTGGAAACCTTTTAAGTCTGTAACAGCTAAAACAGGTGTGGTTAAATTGCTCATAGATATACGACTCTATAAAATAATATGGCATCAAACGTTATTTAGATCCAGAACAGATAAAATCTTACAAGATGCAAAGGTTAGTACCAATGATTAGACTGTACAGTGCATATGATTAATATCATTTCCATTTCGTCACCACTTTCCAGCGTATATTGCAATATTGAATAATATACATCATTTCAATTTTCATAGTTATGTTTAAATTGGTACCTGTAATTATTCCAAGCTATTTCACGGTCTTCATCGTCTCAAGTATGAACACATAACTTAAAATAGTTGTGTTCTATAAATGCTAGATGGTTATCGTTGCCCCAATTATTACTTCTGCTTTCGCCATTTTCTTATTTGCCATGACTAAATAATAAAGGTTTTGCTACATCAAATATGCATGAATTAAATTTATACGACTATAGATTTTTATTTATTTCCTAACTGAATATGTTTGTCTTTGTGTTTCAATCGAATTATTAAAATCTATGTTCTCATTTAGATATCACGCATATGATTCGTTCGCATCGTAAATATTGGATTCTTTTTAACAGATAATGGGTAAGAAACATTTCTCTGTTTACCTTGAATCTCATGTAAAAGTCAATATTAAATCCAAAAAAGCTAGCGATTCATTTAAAACTAACAAAAACGCTGAGCTTTTGAAATTACCCCCCTTGCCCTCCCCCATTTTTTTCTCTACTTATTCCGCTTGTGACTAATTTATATCCAAAGAAATGTAATGCAACGTATTACATTCATGTATGTTGTATATTGTTATGAATGTTAAATATATTTTCCTAGCCACGGTATAATGAAAATTTGTCGGAATTGCTTGGTGTAATGTATTCTTGACTAAGATGCACAGAGGAAGGACATCAAGACCAAATTATTAGTTACCATTGATATCATGAAAACAATAGACCATTTCATGAAGATTTCGGCGAACTTCGTAATTTGCTCGGAATTTCGATTACTTGGCGGGTGGTCAACTGACCGCCATATACAATCGATAGCTGGTAGGCATATAGTCTGGTCCCCTGCTTAGTATGCTCCCTAGTATAGTATAGCGGAGTGCATCACAGGGAGCATGCTAAGCAGGGGACCAGACTAGTGGTCAAAACAAGGCGGACGCATCAGCATTATCATCAATTGTACCAACTACTTCAGCTTCGTTTATCGAGTTGAAAAATGCCTATTCAACAGCGATGATGCCACAGATATTGACGAAATTTAATATTGGAACCATCCTGTCTTGTTTTCTGGATTTTATAGCCATACGAGAGAGTAGCTATGAGCTGTTTACATCTGGACATGCACATGCGAGTATGGAAACTGTGTCGATGTTACAAATTTAATCCCTTTTTGACCATATCACCGTATTTCGTAAATCGAGTTTCGTTTACCAATAAAAGGAACTTTTCGTATTAATCCGCAGTATAACAAACCTGGAATATTTTTCGACGGTAAAGCTGCAGAAGTCCCAAGCATTTAGCGGGCAGGTAACTGGCATTTCTTAATTTGTTTTAATCTGGTACGTCTAAACAATAATGTATGTCATTTTGTTATATACAGATGTCTACCAGCGTTTGATTGGCTGGAGTATAAAGTGACTCGGGAGGTTTTTCGGATAATTACGGAGCAACTAGGTTAAATCCGGTATGAAATGGGCTATATAAGGTCAGTACACCAGCTAAATCGATAAATAATGCAAGCGCTGCCAAGGAAGTATCTTATTTCAATTAGTAACATGTTATCTTTCAGTTTATTTTCGTGACCTGTATATTTTGTCGATGGGAGTAAATTTGCTAATCAGTAATGTTATTGTATAAATGAATGCAAACATGACAATGATATGGAAAATTTGGATACATATTTCACATCTCTCATTGAACTGTTTACCAAGCATATTTGATTTGATAACTTTTCCCAATATTCCTTTTGCATATTCCTTTTCCAATACGTAAGTTCAATCTCTGTTTGCATTCTTCAATCACTGCAAAACAAAAAAAAAAAAAAAAAACCACCCAACCCCAAAACGAAAACAAACTGCAAATATGTATTCGATAAGTCTCATCTTTAATCAGTTGTGTTTTGTCAATATAGAAGGAGAAAGGCATCCTTTGCACTTGCGACGAAGGCAAAATCGTTGTTATCTTGGCAGGTGAGAAACGACCTTCAAACATATTGCAGCACTGGTTTTGAGCACAAAAAGCACTTGCTTACTAGATAAATGGCTGAAGGTGGTGAATGTTGACAAATTTCAAAATTGTAAAGCTATTTTTTATGAAACTAACGTAGAGAACACACAACAAATTCACACAAATGACAATGTACATTTTCAAATAATTTCAACTATACAGACCATATGAAGATATTCGATCTCATACCGCGTCAGGTATTAGGCCTATAAGACGATAAAACATTCCTTATATGAATTCATTTGTTAACAGCTGTCGCTAAGAGACAGCAAAATATCAATACATTTACTAGTTGTGTGATGCTGTCTACAATAATTTGCTGTGTGAAGATATAAGATCAAGTACCTTAGTGAAAATACTTACAGTCACAATTACAGTTCCTGAATTTGTGATACTTCCTTGACAGAACTTTAGTGTGAGCCTGTCTTTCTGTTTGATTGTATGAATGTATGTATGTATGAATGAATGTTTGTATGTATGGAAAGTTTTCTGTCTGTCTCTCTGTCTGTATACATGAATGCATGTATGGGTTGTCTGTCAGTAAATTTCTTTGTCTCTCATGTATGTATGTATGTATGTATGTATGTATGTATGTATGTATGTATGTATGTATGTATGTATGTATGTATGTATGTATGTATGTATGTATGTATGTATGTATGTATGTATGTATGTATGTATGTATGCATGCATGCATGCATGCATGTATGTATGTATGTATGCATTTTTGTACTGATTGTTTTACATTTTGTAATGCATAACGTAATTTCTTTCATTTACCAAATTTTATGATAACACATCTTGTATATAATCGATGTAGAGTTGCTAGTTTACCTGAGTGAAGGTGGTTGTAATTGTGTCTTTAAGAATTACTAGTAATTTTTCACGTATATGTCCTCTTTGAGGAACTGTCAAATGTAGTCTGTAGATTGCTGGACTACCTGTGGATCTAACCACGCTTGAAATTTTATGTGTAGTAACGCTCCAGATAGGATT